GAAAGATTCTGAATCTATTATTAGTTTTTTTTCTCAAAAGTCTTTTCTATTATGAATCATATGATGTCTTATGGTGAATATCTTAAAGATCAAATAGTTTTAGAAAAGTTTTATAAAATTTATCTCCAAAATTTGATATGATTTCTACTAATATAGAAGAAGCTAGAGATATAAGTATATTATCTGTTAATGAATTAATAGACTCACTTTTAGTTCATGAACAAAAAATGAACAGATCTCTAGATGAAACTTCAGAATATGCTCTTCAAATAAAGATAGTTTAAAAGAATAACCAAAAGAAAATTTCACAAACTAGATCTCAAGAGAGAGATCAAAATGGTAGAGGTCATGAACAATCTGACACTCGAGGGAGGGGACGAGGTCGATCAAATGAGGGTTAGAGGAACTCCAATAAAGGTAACAAAGAATTTCATCAATGTTTTTATCACAAAAAAATTAGATATATTGAAAAAATTTACTAGTACAAAAATAAAAATCTAAATATTCCTCTCTACTCTTACAATAAAAATATGGTCATCTTGAAAAGAATTATTGGAACAAAAATCAAGCAAATTATCGAGAAGAAAATAATAGTGAAAAAATGATGAAAATATATTTTCTTTATGGCATCTAATAAAGAATATTATAAAACTATTTGGTTTTTAGATAATGGATATAGTAATCATATGATAGGAGACAAAACTTTGTTTCAAAGGTTTGATGATTCAATTAAATCTATAGTATAGATGGAAAATGATTGTATAGTTCAAGTGGAAGAAAAATGAATAGTTGCTTTAAACACTAAAACTATAAAAATTTTATTGATGAAGTGAAGTTTATTCCTAGTTTAAAACAAACTCTAATTAGTATAGGACAACCGATGAGAAAAGAATATTATGCTATGTTTTATGATGAAAAATATTTGATTAATGATAAAAAAAATTATAACAATTATGAGGATGATAAAAAATAAAATGTTTCCTTCATTATTTTCATATTTCTCCTTTATGTATTCATTGCTACTATTATTAATGAATCGATATTATGACAAAAAAGATATGGTCATCTGAATTATGATGGACTAGAATTGTCAAATCAAAATAATATGATAATTGTTTTTCCTAACATTAAAAATAAAGATATTATATGTGAATCTTGTATTTTTGGAAAACAACAAAGAAATTCCTTTCAAATAAGTCATTTTTGGAGAGCTAAAGAATGATTGAAACTTGTCAACGCATGATATTTATAAGCCTATATAAACTATCTCACATGATAGAAGTAAATATTTTTTATTATTTATAGATGATTGCACAAGGATGATATGAGTATATTTTCTAAAGAAAAAGTTAAAGTTTTCTATTTTTAAGAAATTCAAAGCATATGAGAAAAATAAAGTGGTTTTTTTTTTAAAGCTCTGCATATTGATAGAGGGGTGAATTCATTTTTAAAGATTTTTTTTTATTTTTTTTGTAAGAATACAAATATTCATAGGAAACTAACTACAAGCTACACCTCATAACAAAATAGAGTAGTAGTGCAGAAATATCGAGTAGTGGTCGAAACTACCATATATATGTTTAAAAAATAAAGGTAGTACCAAAAGAGTTTTTGGTAGAAGCTGTGAGTATAGCAATACATTTGTTAAATCACTTTCCTACTAAGATAATATAAGAAAACACATCCTATGAAGCATGGCTAAACTAAAAACCATATATAAGTTATTTAAAGGTATTTGGTTGTGCTACTTACTTTTATGTTCTTATAGAAAAAAGAAGTAAACTTGATGACAAAAGTGTTAAATGCATATTTGTGAAGAAGAAATTTATGATGAGATAAAAGGTTTTAGACTTTATAATCCTACAACTAAAAAATTAACCATAAGTCACGATGTTATTTTTAATAAAGAAGAAATTTAGAACTCTTAAGTAGTTGAAATTCCAATAGTTGTAAAAGAAGTTGATAAGGCACATGATGCATTGCCTAATATTAATACCTCACCTAAATCTTCTCATATTATGAATAATTCTAATTCAAGTTATTCTAGTGATACTAAAACACCTCTAAGAAAATTTCAGTCTTTCACATATATATTAGTATAGTGATTTTGCATATTTTATTTTAGAACCTAGTTGTTTTGAAGTTGCAGCTTAAAAAAAAGACTGTGTGCAACTAATGAATAACGAACTGCAAGCTATTGAAATAAAGTAAGACTTGAAGTTTATATATTTAACCCTAGGAAAAGAAGCAATTGGAGTCAAATGGGTGTACAAGTCAAATTTTAATGTTGATGGCTCGTTGCAAAAATATGAAGCCTGTTTAGTTGCCAAAGGGCATGCTCAGTGTTTAGTTATTGATTTTTCAGAAACTATTGATTTTAGAAACTTTTTCTCCGGTTGCTAGAATTGATACAATTAGAATAGTACTAGCATTGGTAGCTTAGAAAACATAACAAGTTTGTCAATTTGATATTAAATCAACCTGGTTGAATAGAAGTATATAAGAGGTGGTTTATATCAAACAGCATGAAGGATTTGAAATTAAAGGGCTAGAAGATAAAGTATATGAACAAAGCATTATATGATTTGAAATAAGCATGGAGAGCATGGAACAATGGAATTGATAAATACTTTTGAACATAATTTAAAAGAAAAATAAATGAGCCAATAATATATATGAAAGCCCAAGGTATGAAATTTTTTATTGACTATTTATATGTGGATGATATGATTTATACTAAAAATTCATTAGATATCTCTGCTGAATTAAAAATAATAATGTCAAATTTTGAAATAACTGACCTAAGACTTTTACATTATTTTCTAGAAATGAAAATTATTCAAGATACAAATGAAATTTTTTATGCCAAGAAAAATATGTTAAAGATTTGTTAAACAGGTTTCATATAACAACTTGTAAGCTAGTGAATACTCGAATACAAAAGATAAATTTATATTAGATAATGAAGTTGAAAAAAAGATAAAGAAACACTATAGAAGTTTAATTGAATGGTTAATTTATTTTATACATTCAAGATCAGATATTATATTTGTAATTAGTTTGTTATCTAGATTCATGGACAAACCTAACAAATATCATTTTGGAATAGCTAAAAGAGTTCTTAGAGACAAAGAGAATTCTCAATTATGACATCTGTTATAAGCATATAAAATATTTTAAGATATATTCTTATATTAATTGTGATTAGGTTGGTTATACTGACGATAGAAAAAATACTTCAAGATTTGTCTTTAGCCTTGGTTTAGGAATAATTTCATAGATAATAAAATAGTAAGAATGTTTTGCTTTCTCAAGCTCTAAGGCAGAGTATTTTATAGCTACAAATATGATATGTTAAACAATTTGGTTTCAAAAATTCTAGTAAATCTTTAAAAAAAGCAAGATGTACCAACTAAAATCTACTCTAACAACAAGTCTATTATTGCAATGATGAAGAATCATATCTTTCACAAGCGCACCACATCAAAGTTCGACATCACTTTATTTATGATTGATTGATAAAGGAGAAATTCAAATGGAGTATTACAACACCAAAGATTAGTTTACCAATATGTTTACAAAAGATTTGGTAAAAGAAAAAATATTTTTTTTTCAAGGACAAGTTATAACTATTTTGAATTATGGGGGTATGAAACAAAAGATAAAATTAAAATTAAAATAAATAAATGAGGATGAGAAGATTTATTGGGTTATGATTGATTTTTTATTATTTAAAAAAATATATTTTATCTTTTGATTAATATAAAATACTCTTGAATAAATCAAAGCGCACCATTCCGTTAGTATCTTCTTTCTTTCTTCTTTTTTTTTCCCTAAAGTTCTACGTAAAGCTAACATCTTATGTTGGGGTAGGCTTTTCTTTTAGCCATCGATTATTATCTCCCACTTTGATCGTGACATTTACCAATCCTTGCTGCTTTATTTTCAGTGCTCGTCGTGCCGCCATGACGGCATCTGCAGCGAGGCTTACATTATGATAGCTGGTTGACTGATGTTGTTCCTTCTCCTTCCTCTAGTTTACGTGCTGTTACGTCCGAGCTTTTCCAGCATCGATCATGTTGGTGTGTCCATCGGCATTGTATGTAGAGTGATCGTTTGTTATGACATGCTTCAACGTTATCAAATGTCCATGAGACTCGGATTGAGACTGCTCCTGGCTGAGGTGGAGAAAGACGCTTATCTATTGATTGTCAATGTTTTTGACGAAAGACGAGATAAAAGTAGTAGGTGGCGACGATGACGCATCGATACCTTGGGAGGAGAGACAAAAGGAAAGTAATGTCGAGAGAGAGAGAGAGAGAGAGAGAGAGATATATATATATATATATATATATATATATATATATATATATATATATATATATATATATATATATATATATATATATATATATCTCTCT